TTAGGAGACAGCCCACTCTTCAGGAAACTGCAACAATGTATGTGGAGCCTATCCAGCTGCCAGCTGCTGTTCCAGGCTGCACTTCGCAGAACCATCACGAACCCTTCCCTTCTGAGCAAAGGCTGTTCTCCAAGAAGCCTTGAAAGGAATGTGGCAGTGGCAAGAGTGTCCCCTCAGCAACCAATACTTCCCAGAATATGAACTTGTTAAAGCTTGATGGCTCTGCCTCGGACTCCAATGTACTGGCTTCCTTCTTCCTAAGATGTGCCTGGACTTCTCTGAGTGCAAAGCCGGAGATGGAGAATGGAGAGACACCCAAAAGAAGTAACAAGTAGGCAGCTGTGGTGGCTCACGCCTGTAATCCTAACACTTTGGAATGCGGGAGGATCACTTGAGGCCAGGGGTTTGAGACCAGCCTGAGCAACATAGCAAGATCCTAAGTTTATAAAAGATAGAAACAATTAGCCAGGCGTGGTGACAGCCACCTGTAGTTCCAGCTACTCAGGAGGCTGAGGCAGGAGGATCACTTGAGCCCAGGAGTGTGAGGCTGTGGTGAGCTATGATGATGGCACTGCTCTCCAGCCTGGGCAACAGAGCGAGATCCTTTCTCCCCCTAAAAAAAAAAAGTAACAAGTAGGCACTGAGTTTTCACAGGTTGTTTTCAGTTTATCAAGAGCTAGGGAAATGGGAAAATAAATTCTCTCCCAAATTCAAAATTAACATTATTATTATCAATAGTTATTGTCTACTTTTCATAAACTCTCTACATCCTTTCTCTTTAATTCTCCCAATGGCCATAGAGTGGAATTATTATTATCCACCCCCCATTTAATAGATAAGAAAACTCAGGCTAAGAGGAGCTAGTTGACTTCCTAACTCCACAAAGGAATAGGGAAAATGAATTCTGACTGTGACCGTGGGACCACGCGACTCACTCGTCTGCACGCAGCTCTTTTTCTCATGTATGACTTCTGTTTTGTGTTATTTTTGCAGACCTCAAAATATAGAAAGAGGAAGCAGAGGCACTTTTCATATATCAACTATCTGTAACTACAGAAAAATTCATATCCTGTGAAATCATAAGCACTGCACTGGGAAAGGGATAAAAAGTCTCAGAGGCTAGAGAGCAGAGCGGCAAGATCGATCGTTCTGGTGGGAACAGCCAGTGGGTGGTTCCGGCTGAGAGCTCCCCAGAGGTGAGCTGACCAACCAGCCACAACACACAGGACGGGGCTGTGAGAACAGGAACAGGTAGGTAACTTGGTTTGGATTGTGACTTTTGGGGGAGATTATGTGCTTTTGAACAGACAGCCAAGAATCAGATTCTCACCCTGTCTCTGCTCCTGACCACCTGCCTCCCTTGGCCTCACTTTGTTCACTTGCCAAATAAGAAAATTGGGTGAAACAAGTCTTAGGTTTCCCTAAAAATGTCAGGTGATGATTTTCTATAGTTCTCTGCATTTCCCTAGTGGGTCACTCAGTCTTACACAGAGCATACTCTCAACAAATACTGTGCAAATTACACTTGACTCCTGCATTAGGACTCCGTTGTTCTATTCTAATTCTGTAATACAGAAAATTGTGCAGAGCTGTTGACCTGCATGCCATGATTTGTCTCCTAAGTAGGGATTTAGCACCATTTTGAAAAGTGGTGGACCACTCCACTTCTGAGTCCACTTGGTGAATGTGGAAGGACAAAGCGTCTTCTCAGACTGTGGAGTTTGGAGATGAAGGCAGCAGTCTGGAGACTTCTTATGAAACATAGAGAATCTTGGTTATACGGAATCCCTACTGAAAAGTAGCAATATGTGTCAAAATTTAAGTATCATAGCTTTAAATCCAGTAAATCCACTTTCTGTTCATGTATGTTACTCTAAGGAGATGAATAGATGAGGCACCACAAAAGTGCAAAGATGTTCATTACAGCTTTGTTCACAGTGGTTTTTCTGCCTGTTAACATTAGTAACTACAAGACACCCAAGGGTCCTAGGTCATCATTCCTCATATCCAGAACTTTCATCTTCATATGGTTCTGAATACTCCCTTGTAAGATCCAACTCCTACTTCTTTCCAACTTGGAAACCTGCCCAACTGTGCCCTCTAGAATTTAGTGTCAGTTAGCAAAAACATCCTTATACCTGACTCTAATTTTCTTTAACTTCATCAAGACTCATTGATTATACCCCTTTTTCACAAAACCTCACTTTCTTATGTCCTCACTTCTTTGCTCACCCGGCCAAGATCCCGTAGTTCACTTCCTCACGTGAACGCCTGGTGATATCCTTCTTGTCCACAATGGATGGGGTACTAAGCATGCTGGCTTTCCATGCTCCCTTGATCCCCATATTCTGGGGACAGGCAATCCTTTGGGTGATGGAGAAAAACCTTCTTAAGTTCCTGCAAAGTCTAGTCCAAGGGTGGGGAAGCTTTTCATATTGGAAGGCCACATTAATTTAGCTGTAATCAAATAAGGCTGCATTCAAGAAACTTCAATTAGATATACTTAAAAATGTATATTATACATAAAAATGTACTATCAGATATACTTAAAAATCTGACTACTATGTGCTTAACAATTTTGAAAAAATGAAAAATCTTTGTTAATTTTGAACTTAACTAACCTTTTAATGACTTTGATGACTTTGTTGTGTCTACTTTTTGTTGGAAAACATTTGAATATTTGGTTGCAGCATGGAGGTCCGCAGTTTCAGTTGATTCTGTAAATGGGTATCAGTCATTTGTGATCTTAAGGGTGTCTTAATTTATGTTAGGTAGGAGAATGTAGATTTGCAGCAATAAGTGGTTGAAAAGCAAGAAAGCATTTTTCAGGCATGTTGCCAAAGGCATGGAAATTCTACTGCACTTTCCATATTTCAACTGGATCTTTCTTAGCATCAAACAATGACTTTAAAATGTCATCTACTGAGTGCTCAATCAATTCCATCTATAGTTCTTTAGGTGCTTTGGTGATATCAACTAGATGAGGCTGAAATGCTAATTTGAGTGTGTTGTCATGATTCTCAAACTCAGTGAACCTTTCATTGTAGTCTCCAATTAATAGGTCTGTAACAGCTGTGTATTCTTCAAATGATTCACATATACCATCCTGCTCCTTGATGACCTTTGTTAACTGGGGAAAATGTTCATGGAATTTCCTTTTGAAGAATAAGTGTTTTGAAAAAAGATAGCTTTTTTCAAAATGCTTGTTTTTTTTTTTTGCCACATATCATATATAGACTTAGTTTTACCTTGCAAAGAAATATTCAAGTCATTTTTATTTGACATGATATCAGACAGAAATGCTGCATTCTTATAGAAATCTTCTTTCAATAATTCACATTGCTGATTCTGTTCTTCATAAAATTTAACTATCTGTTCTCGCAGAGATAAAATTTTGGCTACCACCTGTCCCTGCAATAGCCAGTGCATTTTAGAATGATAAGGCAAATCCCACTGAATTATCTCATTGTTCAACTTTAGCATGTTATGAAACTGACGATGCCGTGTTGCATTTGCATGAATATAGTTAACAATACTTGTAACTTGTTGCAACGTGTCACTTAAAATGGTAGCTTTAGCACAGAGATTTTGCTGATGCAAGATACAATGAAAAAAAATGAGAGCATCTGGATCTGTTAATACTTTTTTTGTCTGTGCAATAAATCCTTCATGTTTTCTTGTCATGGAAGGTGCACAGTCTGTACATATACTCACTAAATTTACCAATTCAGTCCAACTTCATGACATTTATCTTGAAAGTTGTTGAAGATATCTATTCCCCATGTTCTGTTTGCAGGAGTGCCCAAAGTGAGTAACTCTTCGTAGCAAAGAAAATCTGTTATGACCTGAATGAAATATAAAACCTGTCCCATGTCAGTAGTATCAGTCCATTAATCCAAAGTAATTGAATAATATTAATGTATATTTTCTTTTTGAAGTATTGCATGAAGTTGTTTTGTTAAGTTGAAAACTGATTCATGCTGCGAATCAGTTATCGTTCTCCTTGAAAGAGGCAGTTGTTTGTCCTTTGAAATGATATCGGGGTCTAAGCATCCTACAACTTCGACAATTCATTCTTTCACAATTTCTGCATCCCTGAATGGCTTCCCTTTTTTCCAACTATGTAAGCTACTTTATACGCTTCTTCAGTGGCATTATTTCCAGGTCTTATTGCTGCTTGAAAGAATTGTCTTTGCTTTTGTTTTTCATCTTTTAATTTCTGCAATACAACCTTTTGTGCCTCTCCCTCTAATTTAAAATATTTGTGTTCCTTATGAGTGTTATAATGCTGATGAGCACTGAATTTCTTTAATGTTGATATTGCAGTGTCACAAAGTAAGCGAATCGGCTTACCTTTAACAGAAACAAGATAATATTGTAATTCCCGATCCTCATTAAAAAATCTGTATTCTTCCCTCAGCGTTCTCTTGGTGTTCTTTGACATGATGCCCTGTTAAGCAGACAGAATTAAAAAATACTGTCTAGCTGTGCAAGTATTCACAAATTCCACTTCAAACAGAAACACCGTCGTGTACCGTCATCAAAAGCTGGTAACAGACTGGCATACTCGACCCCCACAGACACTCACCAACCAGCTTTGTGGGGTAGCAGCGCTAGTCAGGCAGAAGACATTAGAACTAAATCATGAACGTAGCAGCTGTCCATTTAGCCCTTATGGTTTACTAATGCTCTAGTGGTGCTGGTTCATCTGGGAGGATTATTTCATTAAAACTTATTTTATTCTTTTGTATTTTAAATGTGTTCATTTTGAAAATAAAACAAAAATATAAAAGACAAACAAAATGTATTAATAAAAATAGAAGGATTTGTTCTGTAAAATTTGGATTCAGTCAAAAGACAGCACTTAAGGAATAAAAGGCCACATGTGGCCTTAAGGCTGCAGGTTCCCCACCCCTGGTCTAGTCCCTGGGAGGTTATGTCTGTTAGTAAAATCTTGGGAACTAACTGAGGTCACTGCCTCTTCCAGCATCTTCACCGTCATGCCGCTACAGCCCCAAACGAAGTGGAATTTTGACGCCTTCACTCCAAAGGGCACAGTTACCCCCCAAAGAGAGAAACCTGGACACACTTACCAAAAAGACAATGACCTGATGAATGGTCTTCCAAGAGAAGCCACAGTTCTTGGGGTAAGTCCATCTCATTATAAGGAGAACACTGAAGAAATTTATTGTGAATGTATCTAGATTACGGTGGACCTGGAGAAATCTTACACTCATTTCTGGCTGACTTCAGGATAATTGGAATATGAAGTGGAGTTTTTTGGGAAGACTACATCCTGCTCAGGCCTTTCTATAAACTAAGTAAAACTGCTAGGTCTTTTCCACTGGAGTGCTACACAGTTAACAAACTAGTGTCTCTTAATTTGTCTTCAGTATGGTAGAGATTTCTTATTTAATCATATAATTTTACTCAGTATGATTAAATGAGATGTTACTCTGAGCTAGTTTTCAAACATCTTGAGATGAGACAATCTGGACTAATCTCACTATATATTTTCTCCCTGTTCACATGAGTAGCTGTAAGACGCCCAAGGGCCCTAGGTCATCATTCCTCATATCCAGAACTTTAATCTTCATTTGGTTCTGAATACTCCCTGGTAAGTCTGTCCTCCTACTTCTTCCCAATTTAGAAACCTGCCCAACTGTACCGTCTAGAATTTAGTGTCAGTTAGCGTAATTATCCTTATACCCAACTCTAATTTCTTTAACTTCATTGAGACTCATTGATTATATCCTTTTCTCACAAAACCTCACTTCCTTATATGCTCACTTCTTCCCTCATGCAGCCAAGATCCTGTGGTTCACCCTCTCTCATGAACACCCTCTACAGCCATGCCCTCATCTCCCTATAGCATGCTCTTCAGGCAAATGGAAACATTGGTTTAATTCTAACTCTCTGCCCATTTGCCTACTCCACACCTGCATGCAGGCAGCTGACTTTGGCTGAACACACATACACACACGCGCGCGCGCACGTGCGTACACACACACAGACACACATATCACTTTAGATTTGTGACCATAACCTCAAATGGACTGTTAATGCTGCCTAAGAAGTATATATTTTTCATCCATTCACTTCCCTATGACTCCAGAACACTATTTTATACTTTTTCCCCCTCAAACCTTTAATGATTCTTCCCTGCCCTCATTCTCCATTGATTGCTTTGTTTCCTGTAACACTAAGAAAATTGAGGCAATCTGGAGACAATGAATGTCCACAAGCTGCTACACATCTCCAGTTACCCACATCTGTGTCCGTATATCCTTTCTCTCCTCTCCATTACTAGGAATAAAATCTCTATCTTCCATTTAATGATAACCCTCAATTTGTGCATTCTCTCCTATTTAAAACATTTTATTCATGTGGCTTCTTGAACATCACACCCTTCTGATTTTCCTCTTTCTTCCTTAGCTGGTCCTTTTTCATCTCCTTTACTGTTTTCAATTTATTTCCCTGATCCTAGAATTGAAATGCTACAGAGCTAGGTCTATGCTTCTATTCTCTTTCTATATCTGCTCCAGTGGTGATCTAATTCATTAATGTGGCTTTAAATATCATCTTCACTTATGCTTGAAAAAATAAGCTGTATTCTTTGCCTCGATCTCTCCTCCAAACTCAAGACTCAGATATTCGACAGCCTGTGAGCATCTCCACTTGGATGTCAGCTAGACATCTCTCCCTTAACCTGCCCCAGGCTGGAATTCTGATCTTCCCCCCAAGCCTACTCCTCTTACAATATTTCCCACCTCAGATCTACGTCAACTCCATATTTCAGTTGTTCAGGCCAACACACTTGGAGCCAACCTTTATTCTTCCCTTTCTTACCACATTCAAACATTCAAACTTGCAGCAGTTCCTGTAGGTTTCATCTTCATAGTACATCTAGAATCCGACTACTTCTCACTACCTCTACTGTCAACATCATCTCCCATGTGAATTATTGCAATATCCTCCTTATTAATCTCCCTGCCCTATTTCCTTACAAACTGTTCTCAAAATAGCAGGTAGAGTGGTCTTTTAAAATGTAAGTAATCTCTTTGCTCAGAATTACCCATTGGGCTTCCCTTTTTGCTCAGAATGAAAAGCCAAGTTGGTAAAAAAAAAAAAAATAGCCTACAAAGCGCTACATAGTTTGCACCTGCTTCCAGTACTTCACAGGCCTCATGTCCTGTTATTTTGCTCTTAACTCCTTTCTACCTTCCATGGAACTTGTCTGTGAAGGAAATAGTACATATAAGCTCTCCAATGGCCATGATATTCATTTGCTTTATTCCTTGGTTCCTGGCACACAAGAGGTATCCAATCAATATTAATTGTATGAATGGTTGACTTCTTTTGACTTTAAGTTATTTTTTCCTATATCTGCATCATCTTTTAATTGCATATGAATTAAATGGTGGGGGAAAGTGTGGACTCTAGATCAAGCTAATGGCTAAAATCCTAGTTCTTCCACTTGGTCATTTTGCTGGTTTATACAAATTACTTTAACTTCCTGTGCCTCATTTTTCTCATCTGTAAGAAAGATGAGATGAGTAGTGCCCAGAATGTAGAGCCTGTTCAACAAATGTAAACTATTGTTATTATTTGTATCATAAAAATAACTATTAAAATCCAATGATGAATAAAATAAGATGAATTGCAGCGGTAGAGACGACCTGCTCTATTTGATTTCAATTGAAATCAAGACCTTCATCAACACTCCCTGGAAAAGTTTGCTCTCCACCTAACAGGACTACTGTCCAGAAAACTTATCTCCTTATTTGTATCATAAAAATAACTATTAAAATCCAATGATGAATAAAATAAGATGAATTGCAGCGGTAGAGACGACCTGCTCTATTTGATTTCAGTTGAAATCAAGACCTTCATCAACACTCCCTGGAAAAGTTTGCTCTCCACCTAACAGGACTACTGTCCAGAAAACTTATCTCCTTCTACATTTCAAATAATTAAATAAAAAAGATTTGTCCAATGTCATCTTCAAAATAAAGTTATGTGCATGTGGTCACTTCCTGATTTTCTAGTTTAACAATCCTATCAAAAAAGAAAAGAGGTTAGTTATAATGACTTTGTACCTTGTAACATTTTTTTCCTTTTTAATATGACAAATTATAACTTATGTTTTTATACTCTTTATAATTCACAATGTGCGTGCATTCAAATAATGACTTTCATCTGTTGAAAGTGTGTTCTAGAATTTCCCCTCTTCTCTCTTGTAGACTATCCAGATCCTGTGTTGCCTGATGATTTCAAGTTTGGGGGTCATTTTGGTTTCTGATCCCTACTCCTCCCACTTCAGTCCAGCAGTTTCCAACATTTTGGTGTCTGGGTACCCATTTATAGGAGCTTTGTGTGTGAGTAGAATGGGGTGTCTGAAAGGGGTCATGCTTTGTAAATGCTAACGGGGTGCTTAGTCATGGAGTGACTCAGTCTTCAAGAGGCAAGGAGGCAGGAGAAGGCGGCCGAGGCCTCAACTTTCCCTCCATCATTGTTCCACATCATATTTCTCCTGTTCAAGAAGAACAGCAGAGGGGCTTAATCTGTGCTCCTGTGCGAGCATCCCAGAGAGGGGCTGGTTGGGACAGGAGGCAAGAGGGGAAGGTAACATAGTGGACATGCCATAGATAGTTCTTACCTGGCATTACAGCACACTCCCAGAAAGGTAGAAGATGTTTCATATCCCTCTTTGGAACTTTGATAAGGCCATTGGATTTGCTCCATTTTAAGAATAATTCACTTGTCAGGTAGGAGTGAGAAGGCCATTTTTAAAAAATAAAATGAGTACGATTGGCAGGTGCCACAGATTTGCAGAGATTTGGATTAGCAGTGGTAAAATTCAGGGGAAGCAGGGCACCCTTGCTGTGCATTCAGAAGTAGGTAATCCTGAGCACTTGAGAAACTCTGCTTGCTGCCTTCCACATAATACCTCATGAAGAAGGGCCCAGTGGATCTTTTTTTCAGAGAGTAGCCAGGGAAGACTCATGCCTCTCACAAGGGATCATTTCTTTTCCATGTAGTATCCTGTGCAGAGGAGAAAAAGGCACACATTCTGGGCAGACTATGCCAAGGCACCACTTCTGTGTGGATACGGTCCCTGTGTGGACACAGACTTTGCTGTCATGCAAGAAGGCCTGCTCCTGCCCCAAAGCACAATTTGTGCTTGACTTCTCTACATAAACAGTGGCTGTGGGCCCTGCATTTCCTTGGGGAAGCTAGTGTTAGCTCATGCTGACTCTCTCTGTCTGTGACTACTTAATACCCAAGCCGCAAGCTTAACCAACATTTCAGCTTCTCAGAGTATCTTCTGTCCATCAGCTGGATCTTTAATACTACTGGGATCAAATACTGACTTCGGGGGCTTTATGATAAAGACTTCACATCTGACACTGTCCTTCCCACTTCCCTCAACTCACAGTCTGACTCAGGCCGCTTATCCCAACAGTTTCGAGTCCATGTTTCTGCACCTTGTCCCATCAGAGCCTCTTTCTTAACTGCTTCTGTTGGCAGCTCCCATCTCCTTGTCCATCCAAGGCATTGGTCTGTCTCAATCTCCTTTCTTTCAACGCTGTAATTTAGTAATACTCTCCTTCCCATGTACACCTTCTATCCAGGGTTCCTCAGTTCCTAGTGACTTCCACTAAAATTACCCAACCCATCTGTGCATCTGCCTATTCTTCAATGTGAGCATCCTGAGGGGAGAAACCAGGTCTCTCTGTCCATATGGACCCAGACCATTCCTGCAGTGCTATCTTCCTAAAAATGTTCCAACATCACTTTTTGACTGAATGATTGACAGTAAGAGGGTGGCCACATTTCCACAGGACAATTGAACTGATCATTTCTCTCTTTTCTGAGCAGTTTGCCATTTCTGGATCTCTCTCAATTATCTCCGGAGAAAAATCAACTAAGCCCTTTGTAAGTATGAGGACCACAGAATCTCAGCTGGTTGGAACTGTAGGAGCCTTGGGGTTAATTCTTCTAGCTCCAAATATCCATTTTACAATTTAGGGACATGAAACTCATAACAGATCAGGGAGCCCAAGTTCTCCCGGCTGGCCCATTGACAGAACCAGGAGTAGAGCCCAAATTTCTTGCCTTCTAGAGCAATGCTCTTTCTCCTTCAAAATGGTGCTTCTGTATCATATCAAAAGCTTGGAGGTTTACCTCAGTTGTTCAAAAATTAGAAAGTTTTAAATGTATCATAGACTCTTTACAAGTTGCTACCTTGACTTTTAATAGGGTAGCCAACCACCACAGATAGGGCTACAGATCTTTCTTTCTTTTTCTAAAAAGCTTACCTCCTAATGAGGTTCTTTTTGATACCAAATGTCCCTCTTCCTAGAGTTGGAACTTCCCACTAATTGTAGCCCTTCAATGTCAGGTTGACCAACTGTCTCAGTTTGCCCAGAACTGTCTCAGTTTTAGCCCTGAAACCCCATATCCTAGGAAACTCCCCAGTCCCCAGGCAAACCAGGATGGTTGTTCACCCTACTCAGTGGCCATGGTAACAAGTTGTAACAAGTCCATGTAATATTTTTAATTTCCACTATTTAAGAAACTGAAATAAACCTCATCCAGTCAAATATCAGGTAGGGAGGCATTCATTCCCCTGCTCCTCTCCTGCCCAGAAGAGAACTTTGGCATCTCTTTCTGGGCAGGAGGAGACTATTTCCATCCAAAGACTCATCCCTGGTAATTGGATGCCCAAGGAAAGAAAAAAATCAGTTCAAAGCAAAGTGGGGGAGAATGATGATAAGCAAATTTGAGTCTTGTCTGAGGAGATTTGTAGAGAGTCCACAGGGTAGAGGCAGGGGGCGGGGAAGGGGATGTCTACAATGTCAGCACTGACTGCAGCACCGAACACAGAGCAGGACTGCGCTCATCACTGCCAACATCTCCCCTGACTTCCTCAACAGCTTTAGAATCATTCTATTGCCCTACGTGCCTCTAGAACATGGCCTTTGGTCCCTCCTGGGAAAGCCAATCTATGGCTTTGCCTTACCTAATGGAGCAGCTTCAGAAAAAAGGCAGAAGCAAGCTGGGGAAGTTGGAATACCTATCTCTAGGTGGATCAGGCCTGTGAGAGCCACATTCATCATACCATCTCCAGAGTCCTATTCTACATTTTGGGGAAAAGGGCTCTCCCAGGGAATGACGATTCATTTGCAAAGACACTGGTCTGCCAGGCTTCCAGCACATGCTCTTCCCTGTTCAAGCATGACTGGAGGACGCTGTTTGTGGGGAGGACTACCCCACCCTCTTCTACCCTGGCCCCATGCTACATGACTTCATGTCTGAGTCCCTGAAGGAAGAATAGCCTGAAGGCGCAGTGCCTTGGCCCCAAATTGCCACATGAGCAAGGGAGCCCACATTCTATCAGGTCACTCTAAGCATAGACTTCTCTTTCTGTGTATTCAGACATTGGGAAAACCACTTCTGAGATCAGCATGTTCCTCCTCCACATTTTGTAAATGAGAACACTAAAACCCAGAGTAGGAAGGAACTTGTTCAAGCATGCAGATGAGTTAGTGACAGAGTTGGGGTGCGAGCTCAGGTTTCCTGATTCCAAGTCCAGAACTCTGACCTCATCCAACACTGTGAACTCTTCAAAACCTGGCCCCCTAGTCCCGGGCTTTAGACTGCAGCTCCAGTCATCAGGAGCATATCCCAGCCTCTACACCATCCATGTGTCCTCATCCATGACCAGCCAGACCCTGTGCCTTCTTGAGTCAGGATGTGGCTTTTCCCTATGTCACCTTTGTGGGTGTGTGGCAGGGGAGAGGGAAAGTTGTATGGAGAGAAGCAAAGACTTTAGCTGCTTCCTCCCCCAACCCCTCCAAGGTTTGTGGGGAAAGTGGCTACAGTCTGATAATTTTTTCATTTGTGCGTGGGGAGAGAGAGAACACATGGTCTAAGCTCACACACCTCTGCCTCATGTTTTGCCACTTAGGAAGATTGGAGGTATACGCTTGTCATCTTGAGCAAACATTGATTGTCAATTGAAGGTCAATGACTTGTCAGCTGAAGGTATATGCCTATGTTCCCACAGGCCTGATTACTTTACAGATAGGTATTCTAACTTTTCCAGTTTGTTCTGCCTTTTCTCTGAAGCTTGTCCTTTATGTAAGGCAAAGCCATAGACTGGGTTTCCCAAAAGGGACCAAAGGCCATATTCTAGGAGCCCCTAGGTGGAAGAATTATTCTAAGGCTGTTGAAGAAGTCAGGGGAAATGCTGGCAGTGATATAAGCAGTACTGTCTCTATCTTGAGTGCTACAGAGAGTCAAGGGGCCAGAACCCCTCTCCCTAAGGAGGAATTATTCATGTAATCTCTTATGCAACAGGCATTTAACCAATTCTATCACGTGCTGCACTAAATAGTACCAAGGGATACGAAGATGAATAAAACACAATCTGTGCCCACTCGGAGTACACAGAGGAGGGAACAGACACAAGAAAGCCCCCATTGCGGAACAACGGACAGCGATGGCAGCACCAGGTGCTGATTCTGCGATGAGAGCCCAATGCAGAATTTCTCTTCCAGACCCTGAGCAGCCTGACCTCAAATGCAGTGAGTTCCCTTACTGCTGGGGCAGGCCTCTTCCTCCTCGCTGATGGCATGGTAGACGTGGGGACTGCCTTTCAACACCGTGACTCAGAAAAGGAGTATCTATCCTCACTGCCTTATTCGGAGTACTATTATCCAGTGTATGAAGTCAAGGATTGTCTCTTGAGCAGTGCCAGTCTAACAGTAAGTAGTTTCAGATTGAATATCCTGTCATGTGAAATCTCAGTGTCTCCCCTTTACGTAATCTCTGCTTTTTCAGCAGTCTCTGGTCCTGTTGGTCTGAATGCCTGGAGGCAGACAGAAAAAAAAATAATGTGGCCGGACGGGGCCCATCAGGAGACTGCATGATAAGGGGATGTGCTGTATAAAGGCAAAAAAGGAAATCAAGAAGGGCAGTGGAGAGTCTATCCCTTCAGAGGTCTTTCTTCAATAATAAAATTTCCAACCACAATAGGTTTTGCTCCCACAGTACCCCCTTTGTTGAGCAGGCATTTTTTTTCTCAAGGCAGGCAGAAATATTCTTTTTTATTTAAATTTGGTATTATCTTTTTTTGGTTCCTTTCCTGGAGTTGAAAGTCCCTACCCCTTGGAGATGCTTGTCTTCTGATCATCCATGAGTCGAGGGCTAGGAGAAGCCCCACAGTGCAATTTCTTCAAATGCATGCCTGTGTATGCTGCATTCAGTTAGGCCCAGAACTTGAACTTTAAGCCCAAAAGCACTATTATGGTGCTTTGTCCCTGCAGGGCTGACAGAGAGTAGGGGAGGCTGGGAGATGGCTTACCAATGGATTTGAGTCCTCACAGAAATGTCAACATCTCTGGGCAGCATTTTATTGCCACTTTTCCTCAGGAGTTGATGGTTACCACCTGTTGATGGTGATAAGCCTGGCTTAGTCAATCCTCCAAATACAGGATCATAGTGTTAAAACCATAAACCTGTGGCCTTTTAAGGAAAAAGACGTCTTCTGGGACTCCTTGTAGTAGGAGCAGGGGGAACCCAAGGCAGTATCTCTCATTCCCTTAGCTCTGTCTCACAAATCTCAGAGAACATGTGCAGGTTTTCACACTCACAGGCTGCTGTGAGTTTGCCCATGTGACCCAGAGGTTGTGAAAAGCAAGCCCTTTGATCCAAGAGCTTAAGGAAGTAGAAAAGCATGGGGACCCCTCTAGGAGGGAGATAGTGTAACCCCAGTGCAGGACAGACGTCAGGCAAAGCAAGGAAGGTGGAAGAGGCATCCTCCTTGCTGGGATATTGGGGGTTTAATTGAAAGAAGAAATAATTTTATTTCATCAAACTGCCTCCCACTCTCAGATAACTAGAGCCCAAAAGAACTTCCTGCAACATCAGAGAAGTTGCAACATGGCAGACTAAGCGAAATAACCTGTACGAAAGTAAGGAATTTTAAAAATTAAAAAAATATATATTCAGAGTTGGAAGAAGAAAAAGGAAGGGAGAGTGGAAGGAAGGAAGAAAGATGTCTTAAGTTCCAGAATCTAGGAAGGATCCTAAAGCCAATCATCAAATGAGAGCTGAGGCCAGCAAACCAGGGTAGTTTGGATGGAAACATTGGTGTTAGAGGCCAGGATAATGGAGTTTTAATGCCCATGCTGGGATTTGACATCCGTCAGGCCCATAGAGCTCACACTGAGTACCCTGTAAAAATGTTAAAAGCTGAGAGTGAATATTTAGTCAATTTGTGAAAATAAGACAGGAAAAACTTTCTGTCCAATATCCCAAGAAGCTGATCCTTGCTATCAGCTCATCAAGCCTCGTGCAGGTGTGGAATCCAGATTCATAATTACATTTAAAATTAGGGAACCTCAAATAAAGGGACTAACTTAAAAACTGCTACTGGATCTGTGAAACTCCTAAGGTTCTAGCAGAATCAAACCTAAAACCAATATCTAGGGAGACATCCATAAACCCACGTATCAAAGGGCCCCATTACCACCACCACCTACACACTGAAATTAGCTAATAATAAAAACATTATGAGAAACAATAACAACGACGCCATGGGAAACAGCAACAGATGGGAAAACATGAGAGTTAGTAGCCCAAAAATTGGATATAATATAATAATTCGAATGAAGCTATACTGAAAATATATCTTAAATGATTAAAATATAAAAAAGTAATTGAAACCAAAATGAAAGGATAGTAAGAAAAAAGTACAAGTAGATTTGAAAAAGAACTAAATAGCATGATGGGAAATGAAAACTGGGGTCTTTAAAGTTAAAAACTCAGCAGATCAGTTAAACAGCAGATTCACTATATTTGAAGAAACAGTGAAATGAAATTTGAGTCTGATTAAATGACACAGAATACAATGCATTGAAATAAAACATTGGAAGTATTGCTGGAGCTCTTACTGAGAGGTTCAAAGGCATGGAGGATAGAGGGAAGTGAAAAGTTCAACACACATCTAATATGAGTTCCAATGGGAGAGATGGGAGAGAGGGAGTATGCAACAATAAATAACAAAATTGTTCGGAATTAAAGAAAGACACGAGATCTCAGACTGTAAGAATGCACTGAGAGCACTGCAGGATAAACAGAACCAAATACATATCTGAACATATTACCATGACAATAAAATGCACCAAAAGCAAAAAGAAAATAATAAAAGCAACCAGAGATAAATGGCGGATTACTCTTATCTGTCATTATGTGGGATACCAAGGTTATGAGATGAGACAGTCATTGCATATTTGCTTTCTTCTATCTGTAAGAGAAAGCAGAAAAGAAGATTAGACAGTTTTCTCTGTTCCTTTTTCTCTCCATTGCTGGAGCATCCCCCAGGCTCCTCTCAGAGGCACAAGGGCTAGCTCGTGTCGGGTACTAACTATTTGCTTCCCGATTTACAGGGTGTTCTGGTGGTGATGCTCACATTCACTGTGCTGGAGCTCTTACTAGCTGCATACACTTCTGTCTTTTGGTGGAAACGGTTCTACTCCAACAACCCTGGGGTGAGTATGCCGACATGCTGCATGATACTCACTGCATCCCAGGTCTGAGCTATGATGATCCAGGCTCAAAAAGTGGTAGAAAGAGGAGTCAAGACTTGGGCATGAGATGCATGTGGAAGGTGACTTTTATAGTAAAAAATGAGTTCAATAAATGGGCTCCATCGTAAGGACACTCTGGTCATGTGGGATCAGCTGGTGCATACTAGGCAGCAGACCAGGTAGAGAGTTGCTTAGTGTGAAGCTAGTTGGCTTTAGAGATCACTTGGCCCAACTCTTCCCAAAAGAACCAAGGCTTGGATAAAATTATGTGGAGAATGAATGATACGGACTAATGGTCTGAGAATGAGAACTTGCTTCCCCTCACTGTTACGAACGCAACCACCCGCCCACGGGAGTCTCCAGGACCAAGTTCCCTTGTTAACATGATGAAATTTTACTAGGACTTCCTGGTTCTCTTTATGCTTTCCTGTGCTCTTCCTTACTTCCTCTTAGCTCGTAGTATTATAATTTCAAAATATTTTCATTTCCTCTAAAAGCTTGTTTGGTCTCAGGAAACAAAACCCCAAAATGAAGGCCTCAGAAACAGCCTTAGAGGCAAACATTTTTCTCTCACCTTCTCCTGTCTTCCTGCCCTTTAGTCTCATTCTTCCCTGAGGCTAGGCCTAGAAACCATTAAGAGAATCCTCTTTCCCAAGGTAGATCGTAGAAACCAGAACCTCTTTTCTCGTAAGCCAGCCATAAAACCTAAAAATATTCTATGTGAAAACTGGCCGTAAGGAAATTATCTGACCTACCTTGTTTTACTATAGGTCATAAGATCCCCATTCCAGAGAGGGAAGGAATGTCCTCAGTGAGGCCAGGAAGAGTCATACAGGACTTGCTGGGTCTTCCCCCTCAGTCTATTGGCATTAGATCATACCCTTTTTGTCCAATCACATTTCTGTACAGCTGCCCATACTTTGTTGAACCTAACCATAAAAACGGACAAACTTCCTTGTGTCTTTGGTTCTTTATTCTTAAGGCTCTCATGTATCCAAGTTAAATAAATGTGTATGCCTTTTGTCCAATCCATCTTTCTTTTGAAGTTGATTTTTCAGCAAAACTTCAGAGGGCCAAGGCTTTCTTGGCTCCAACAAGCTATAGCAAAAACCAGAAAAAATTTTGGGGGGATTTGAAAGAATTATGATTTAACTGTGATCCTATCAGCAAATAGTAAATTGATTAGCAGGCTGGAGAATAGCAGTTTTTGAACTAATATTGCTGCAATTATATATTATGGTAAAGTTGAAAGAGCTACTACTGTACAAAATTTGGGGAGAATGTGTTATGAATATCAAAAAACCTCCAATATCAATGTTTAAAAACTACTAATAAATTTTATCTTTTCTAGAGTGAATTTTCCTTGCCTTAGTCATGAGATCATATCCAGCATGCCAGAAAGAGTTCTTCAAAGTAATAGAAATGAGCAACTCTTGGCCTCAGAGGAAAAAGGAAGAACAACCCAGCACCTACGACAAAGTGTAGTTAGACTTTTCTGAACTCTCAGCCATTTCAGATATTGTGCAATAAACTTAAAAAAAAAAAAAAGCTTTTGTTTTGTACTTGTTCAGTATGAGTCATTTAATTTCTCTTGGAAATAATTTCCCAGAAGCCCACGTCAGTAAAATTTTATTAACCAGTCTTCCAAAATGTCATAAATTTTATAAACTTCTCCAGGTAAAGTGAGCAGAAAGTGACTCATCTCTCTCTACATAACAGAAAATGTGAACTCTTGTGATAGTGTGAATTGGCTAAGTCAGGTGGCTACACAGGCCCTGTTTCTACACTGTTTTGACACTCACATTGCTTAAATATTAGATATTAAGAATTGTAAGAACATTTTTAAATAAAAGTACTTAAAAATATATGGCTCTTCTCTGTCTCATTTAGTGACTTTATTCTTAAATATCAGGATTCAAAGACTATAATTAAATTACTCTCTGCTTGGCCTTTTTTGCAGACATTTGGCATTTTCTTTCCTCAGGAATTTTATAAGTTCAGATCCCTCTGTCTGGAATGATTGTCTTGCAAGTATTTCCATCACTTACCTTCTCACTTCTTTAGGTCTTTCTTCAAATCTCTCAACCTCAATGAAAATGTCCCCATGACGCTACACAAAATTCTAACCTGCTTTCACTTTCACTTGCTTATTTTTCTCCATAGTACTTACCACCACCCGATACACTACACATTTTATTTATTTGTTTGTTTATCGTATGTATGCCTCCACTGGTCTGTAAGCTACATTAGCGAACTCACTACACCCTGCTGAGGTTTTCAGCCCCTATTTGTCTGTTTGCAAATACATGAGTGTGTGCGTGTGTGTGTGTGTGTGTGTGTTTGTGTGTGTGTATTTTAAACTGGGGACGGAGGACCTCGCAGCTTTCCCTTCTTCCCATAAGCCAAGAAATGCAATAAAATTATATTTTATCCAGGGTCTGCGTCTTATTTGTTTGTTCAGGGTTTTTTGTTTGTGTGTTTGTTTTTTGTTTTAGTTTTGGTTTTTGCTGTTTATAGAAAGGTCCTGCAGAATATCTGGTCTGCCAAACTGATGGAAGATGCAGTTAGGACACCGCGCGTTTCATTTGCCACCCATCCCTGCCCCACCAGCCAGGCCGTATTTTCCAAATGACCTGACTATCCACTTTAGTTTCTAAACTCAAAAATTTGGGAGTCATTCTTGAGTCCTTCCTTTGCCTCACTCCCACATTCACTTTGGGCAACCAATCAGGCAAGAACCACTAAAAGGAAAGTCTACTAACCTCATAGCAAGAAAAGGAGTGGAAGTTCCAACCAAGTCCAAGAAGATATCTAACACATAGACCAGAAACTTGAGTTCTGCCTCTGAATTTAAAAAACAACGTAGTGGCTGAGACACACACACTCAGATCCTTAGCACAGTGCTCCTTACCACAATCCTGCCTCCCACCTTAGCCAACTGGAGCAAGAAATTCTCCTTGCTGGCCCAATGAAGGAAGCAGCCTTACTGAGGAAGCAAGGAACTGAGGGTGTCCTCTAGGATCCGATGACAGCTTCTAATCTCCAGCCAGCAGAACCCAGGGCCCTGAGTCATACAATCAGTCATACAAGGAAACAGATTTTACCAACAACCTGGATGTGCTTGGAAGTAGGTTTTCCTTGTTTGAACCTCTAGATGAAAATATAGCCTGGCTGATATCTTGATTGCAATGATTGCAGTCATGTGACACCCTGAGCAGAGGCACCCACTTAAGCTGTGCCTCAACTCCTGATCCATAAAAACTATAAGATAGTATATGTGTGTTGTTTTAAGCCACAGAATCTGTGGTAATTAGTTATGCAGCAATAGAAAACGAATACACACAGGATTATTGCATGAAGTCTGGAACAAGAAAAGGTGATCTTTCAGCCAAGTTCAGGTTTTCAGCTCCACCACTTACCAGCAGTTCCCTTGACTTTAAAATGGGTATGATTACAGAACCTACCTCCCAAGGCTGTTGGGAGGGTGTCATAGAAACACATGCAGAAGGATGAATGTAATGAGGAAATACGTATCTCATTTTATTTACAGAAGCACACACTAAGTGCTGAATGTTACTGGTCAAACTCAAGGAAGGATGGTCAACTGCAGGTTGAAAGCACTCAGAGAATGTCACCCTACGTGTGGTTGTCCCCTGAAAACTCTGCCATTTTGCCTTTCAATGGAATAGCCTAGTTTTTGCCCTGTGGTCCAAGTCTACAGATTGAAATATTAGAAAATCAGAAAGAAGGAGAAAAGAGCAGAGGCTGACAACTATAATCTAGTTGAAAAGACAAAATGAGATGCATTTGGAAATATCCAAGATGTTTCTCCTGCTTAATGTGAGTAATTCTTTTCCATCATTTTAAAGGATAAATATTATATATATTAGATAAACTCCCATCCAATTTCCTAAAATATAAGTAAAAGGCAGTAAAATATCTATATATGAGTAAGAAATTAACATTGTAGATTAGAAAACATTAAAATATTTTAATTTCTTGATCAGCACATAATCACAATGGTTATTTGTTTGCAGGGTGTGGCTGCAGCACCATCTCGAGTGTACTTCCCTTTTATTGACACAGAATGGTTTTTAAAACTTCTCTACGTTAATGTGATAGTCTATCAATTCTGCTTATAATTTAAATATAAAAGTGCCCCATACTTGGTTTTGTTTAAAATGTTGCATTGCACTTTAGGTACATAAATTAAAATATGCGTGAATAAACATTGACAGAAAAATGTCGTATTGAGAAAGACTTATCTTCTCTGAAGTTTGGCTGTAAAAAACAAAGAGGTGTTCCATCAGGAAAAAGTCTGTGGAGAAGATAGTCTGCAATTATTTCTATACATCTGTGCTTCCCAGCCTGGAATAATTTTGTCCCCAGAGGACAATTGGTAATGTCTGGAGACATGTGGTTGTCACAACTGGATATGTAGTGCTAGCATCTGATGAGTGGAGGACAAAGATGCTGCTAAATATCTTATAATGTACAAAACAACTACCCACAACGAAGAATCATTGAGCCCAAATGCCAGCAGTACCAAGGCTGAGAAAGCCTGCTATCCGTGGTTGCCACAAACCAGGAAAAACTCAAGATAATATTTATTTACATTAGTTTTAGTTTTGTGAAACCATTTACCTTCATGATTTCATAGTTGAAATTTTCATAACAAATATATGAATACGAAGTATCAATGTGGAAAGCAAAATTCCAAAAGGTATTTTTTGTCATTTTAATTAGTATTTGTATAGTTTAAATCAGGAAGGATTTGAATAGAATTTAGTTTTACTTGTCTTTCTGAAAGCTAAAATAGCTTCTATGAAAGTGGCAACTACATACTATAGTTTCTCTATTGCTGATTTTTTTAACTTGAAAACACAAAGAGTATATATCTTAAATGTTCTTACCACAAAAAAAAAAAGTTAACTATGTGGAGGTGATTGATATGGTAATTAGATTCATTGTAGTAATGATTTCACAATGCACATGTATATCAAAACATGTACATTATAAATATATACATAATTTTTATTTGTCAAATATACC